TATAGAAATAATGTTATCTGTTCTTTAAACATTTGGCAAATGAAACCAAGTGAACCAGTGAAATCATGTGGGCTTGTAGCTTTCTTTTTCTGAAAGATTTTAAACCATGAATTCAATCTCTTTAATATCTATTTACTCTTTAGTACATGTCATAGTAATTTTTAAGGAATTAGTCCATTTAATCAACGTTGTTGAATTTTTGTGTGTAGAGTTGTTCTTTATAGTATCACCTTAATATTCTTTTAATGTCTGTAGGGTTTATACTCATTTTCCTCTTTCATTCTTGATACTGGCAATCCCTGCCCACTACTTCACACTCCCCTCTATCTCCCTCTCTTTCTGGCTAAAGATTTATCAGTTTTATTGAGTTTTTTGCTTCACTGATATTTTTCTATTGGTTTTCTGTTTTAAATTTCATTGCTTTTTGTGCTTCTCTTTATTTTTCCATCCTTCTGCTGTTTGGGGTTGATTTGGCTCGTCTTTTTAAAAGTTTCTCAAGGTGGAAGTTTAGATTATTGATTTGAGAACTTTCTTCTTTGCCAATATAAACATTTAATGTTATAAATATCTCTCTAAGCAATGCTTTAACTGCATCCACAAATTTTGATGTGTTGTATTTTCATTTTTGTTCAGTTCTAGATATTGTCTAATTTTTGCTTTAGAAAGCATTTTAAATAATTCAAAAAGAGAAGAGCATATTTACCTACGTACTTGTTATTTTTGTTGCTCTCTCTTCATTTCTGATATCCCAAGTTTTCTTCTTCTGGTATTATTTTTTTTCATTCTGAAGGGCTTCCTTTAGCAATTATTTTGGGGCAGGCCTGTTGGCTCTTAGTTTTCTGTCGCTGAGAATGTCTTTTTTACCTTATTTCCTGAAGGCATTTTGCTGGATATAGAATTCTGATTTGACAGTGTTTTTTCTTTTTTTCACTTTAGGAATATTGTTTCACTTTCTTCTGTCCTCCATAGTATCTAATAAGAATTCCACAGTCATTTGAATTATTGTTTTCCTATAAATAATGTGTTATTTTTCTCTGGTCACTTTGCTGTTAATTTATAAGTTTGCTTACAATGTGTCTGGGCATAGATTTATTTGGGTTTATTCTGTTGAGGTTTGCTGAGTTTCTTGAGCCTGGAGATTCATGTCTTTCACAAAATTTGGGAAATGGTTAGCCATTATTTCTTCAAATATTTTTTTACATTGCACTGTCATCTTCTCTGGGACTTTGACAACATCAATATTAGATCTTCTGGTGTCATTCCACAGATATCTGAAATTCTATTCATTAAAAACAAAAACAACCTGGGAATTCTCTGGCAGTCCAGTAGTTAGGACTCTGCACTTTCACTGCTGAAGACCTCGGTTCAATCCTTGGTCAGAGAACTAAGATCCCACAAGCTGTGCGGCATGGCACAAAAAAACCAGAACAAAACAAAACCAACTTTCTTCTCTCTGTTGTTCACTTTGGGTAAATTCTTTTGATTGGTTCACAAGTTCATCTACAGTCTCCTCTGCTATTTCCAGTCTACTGTTGAGACCATTCAGCTTTTTCTTTGTCTTGTGCTTTTTAAATTCCCCTTTGTTTCTTCCTTATATCCTCAATTTCTTTGCTGAGACTTTCTAGCTTTTTATATTTTAAGAACATTTGCCCTTACTTTTTGGGGCACTATTATAATATATATATTATTTATATATATATATATATATATATATATATATATATATATATAAATTTCTCAGGGAAATCCCATGAGAAAAACAGAGAACAGAAGAAAGAGGGCTCTCCTTGACTCTCTTGAGCATTAGGAGACCCTTCCCTGCTCTTTGAGCCAGAGCTAGAGGGCTTCTCCTGGAGCTCCCTCTGTGCAGATGCCCACATTCAGGTTTTGTGCTGCTTATTGGAGGAAAAAGACGATAAACTGTCTACCAATTCGATGGTACTTCAAATTCTAGTCCTCTTCCCCAATTACCAACTACAATTTAATTTTCAGAGTCCTCAAAAATCTGCTCTGTATATTATGTTCAAGTTTTTTTTTTTTTTTTTTTTTTTTTTTTTAGCTGCATCCATTGTGGCATATGCAGAATACTCTATTGTATCTGAAATTGGAAAATTCTATCTTGTTTAAACCACTGGATTACTGTTGGGGCCCTGGTTTCAGCAGGTAGGCCTATCCTAACTTATTAAGCCAATTCCACCATTCCTTTGTTCTTGCACTACACCTATTTATTCTGTAATTCATTCATCCTAAAACCCACCTATCTGCCCCCTCCACCCAGAATGATGAGCTAGATTTATCCAACCATGTGGGCTGGTGGTCTTTTGCTTGTTAAATATCTCTGCACAACTCTCCTGTTTTTCACAGAAATTGCTATTTATATTTGTCTTGAACCTTTACAGCTATCCTTTCACTCTCTCAGCATGTCTTTACCTCTTATGCTGTAGAGAAAACCAGGCACCTTCTTACTGCTCACCTATAGATATGCTTTCCCTTCTGTTTTAAATGAAGAGACATCCCTCCTTATACCTTCTGCTGAAGGAGCTAATGCTTCCTGTGCTCTGGATCCTATCTCCTTCTGCCTTCTTAATGTTATCCATAAATTATTATCCCCATTTCTTCCATCTTCCACTTATTTTCTCCACAGGATCCTATGCTTCAGGATATAATATGGAAAGCCTCTATCTTATCTTAAATACTGCAAACATCTCCTAATACTCCTCCTGTATTAGTCAGATTAGTTGGATGAGGGTAATCTAACAGTTTTAACAATATTTAGATCTCTGAGACTAAACACACACACAAATTACTTTTTTACTCATATAAAGTTCAGTGTGGGCTTCCCAGGTGGCGATAGTGGTAAAGAACCCACCTACCAATGTAGGACCAATGTAGGACATGAGAGATGTGGGTTCAACCCCTGGGTCAGGAAAATCCCCTTGAGGAGGGCATGGCAACCCACTCCAGTATTCTTACCTGGAGAATCCCATGGACAGAGGAGCCTGGTGGGCTACGGTCCATAGGGTCGCAAGGAGTTGGACATGATTGAAGTGACTTAGCATGCAGGCAAAGTTCAGTGTATGTGTTCTTGGTTGGGTGGCTCTCTTGGTAGCTCTCTCTTCTCTGACTCAGGGATCCAGGTTCCTTCCATCTTATGGCATAGCCATCTTCATGAGGTGTTCAGGGGTGCTGTAGAAGGGAAGACAGTATGAGGTAGGTTCCCTTAACTACCTTAGCTCAGAATGCCCTACACACTTTTACTCACATTCCTTTAGCCACAATTCCACCTGGAGAGATCTAGGAAATGTTGACCTTCATGGAGCAAATGCCTTCTAGCGTCATGAATCTTCAGTAGTCAGCCAACTATTTCATCTATCTCTAGTAGCTCCTTACCTCTAGTCTTACCATATATCCATCCACATGGAATCGATCATAGTCTTCTTACCACAGATCTGATTGTACCACTTCCCCATTTAGCACCCAATTACTACCCACTGCCAAGTGAATGAAATCCAAACCCTTTATCAAGGTATTCAATACCATTTAGGATCTAGCCCTTCCAAGCCTGTCTCATGAGGTCTTGTCTTAGGGATTGTCCCATCACACTGCTTCCAGTTCCCAGTTACTGGGAACAAGTAATAGTTACTCTTACTTGCCTCTTTACATTAGCACACACTCTTCGATCTTTCTGAAACATCTCTCTTTGCTGTTATCTAGTGGGAAAATTTCTACCTCTTCTTCACAATTCATTATAAGCATCTTCCTCTGTGAACCTTGTAATCTTTTTTTATTTTTGAATTTAAGAAATTTTTATTTTATATTGGATTAAGTTGGGCAATAATGTTGTAATAGTTTCAGGTGTGGAGCAAAGTGATTCAGTTATACATACACATGTTATCTACTCTTTAAAAAATTCTTTTCCCATTTAGGCTGTTGCATAATATTGAGTAGAGTTCCCTGTGCTATACAGTTGTTGGTTATCCATTTTAAAATATAGCACTGTGTACACGTCCATCCCAAACTCCCTAACTATCCCTTCCCCCCACCCTTGGCTTCTGGTAACCATAAGTTTGTTCTCTAAGCAGCACCTTTTTAAAAGTAGAGTTGATCATTTAGTCCCTTTATGCCACAACTGATCATCAGCAAACCTCCACAGTAGTACTTATTTCACTGAGTTAAAATCATATTTTTATGTATCAGTCTCTCTTCTTTTAAACTATAAGCTCCTTGATAGCTAGGATCATGACTTTCTCCCTTAGCATCTCCAATGCCTAGGGCAGTGTCTGTCACATGATGGATGTTTAATAAATGTTCATCTAATGAATAATTAAATGAATGAATAAATGATGTACACTTTAAAATATTTCTTACACTTAAATTTCAATTCAGTGTTTATTCAATATTTAAAAGTTCTTGGAGAAAGCTATGAGCTTGTGCTATATTTACTGTATCTTCTGTTAATGAAGGAGGATGGACAGTACTGAATTAAAGCCTTACAGAAATACCATAACATAAATTCTTGGTTTGGTTAGGGGAGCTTCTTCACAAAAAAGTTAGTGAAAGTCATACAAGAATGAGCTGAAGCTACAAAGAGGTTAAAGTGACTGATTCTTATTGATGTGGAAATATTACTGAAAGATTCAACTCTGGGAAGTCAAAGAGCAGAGAACACTGGTAAGAACTGAGAGGATTCAGGTGATTGAGATGAGGAGCTGGAGGAAACATCATTTCGGTCTGTAATGGAAAAACGAATGGTGTGGGGGTGGGGGGACGCTTCCTTGAGCTTTTCCCTTCTGAACCATGGAAAAACAACTCTACCATAATTAATATACTTTTTGAATTAACTGTATTTCATTAATAATTCTTCAAAAATCATTGTTCATCTATGTTATATATACTCTCTTAATTACCTAGACTGTTCGTTAATCAGCTCATCATTCCACCTCTGACCAATCTATATGAGTAGAATCACCGTATATTCAAAAACAATAAATAACAAACAGGGCGTCGGGGCTGAGCCGCTCACTCGGATCCGGATCCGAGGCTTCGCGGTCAACGGCTTATTTGCGGCCCCGCCACAGCCGACCCGGCTCCTCGGTGGAGAGACAATGGTGGGCCGCAACAGCGCCATCGCCGCCGGTGTGTGCGGGGCCCTTTTCATCGGTTTACTGTATTTACTTCGACCGCAAGAGACGGAGTGACCCCAACTTCAAGAACAGGCTGCGAGAACGAAGAAAGAAACAAAAGCTTGCCAAGGAGAAAGCTGGGCTTTCCAAGTTACCTGACCTTAAAGATGCTGAAGCCGTTCAGAAATTCTTTCTAGAAGAAATACAGCTTGGTGAAGAATTACTAGCTCAAGGTGAATATGAGAAGGGTGTGGGCCATCTGACAAATGCAATTGTTGTGTGTGGGCAGCCACAGCAGTTACTGCAAGTGTTGCAACAAACTCTTCCACCACCAGTGTTCCAGATGCTTCTGACTAAGCTCCCAACAGTTAATCAGCGACTTGTAAGTGCTCAGAGCTTGGCTAAAGATGATGTGGAATGAGAAACAAATATCAACATAATGATCTCAATTAAAACATATTTTTAAAATCTTAACTCAGAAGATGATCGGTTCTGGGGGAGTAAGGGCAGATGAGCTTGTTATGGACTGTCCTCCACAGTGAAGTCTACCAAAGTTAATTTTTACTTTGTGTAGATCCATTTGTCTGTTTTATTTATTTTTCCCAGTGAAAAGTGTATTTTGATAGAGAGCTTTTCATTTTATAAATATATTATGAATTACTGAAATATGCATTTTGTTTATTCTTAAAATGTGTAATTAGAATGTAATTACATCCCATTACTTACATTAAAAATAGCCATTTCTCAGTTTTGAAAGATAGGCCCAAAAAAGTATAGAAGAAAACTGAAGAATGTACATGTTTTGTTCTACATCAGAAAGTTGGCTGGAAACTTGTGTTCATCAAAACTGAGCATTAAAATAAGAGATTATTTCTTTCCATTTAATCTCTTAAATATGTATAATGTGCTGCTATGCTATAGTAACAATTTCACCCTCACCCTTGAAATGTTTTCTTTAAATCAGTGGGTTTGATGTGTTCTGTATATTTATCTCCTTGTATTTTAGATACATGTAGTTGCAGATAGCACCAGGAATTAGATGTCTATACATTCTTAATTTGGCTAAATAAGCTTTACCAGTTAATGTCTGCTCACTTGCCTCACATATAAACTGAGGAAATGGGTCTGCTAATTCAGCTTCTAATTCCTTTGGTTCTGTGCAGCATTTTCAAATCCCTCTTTCTGAGGGAAATACCTGTTTGGGCAGCCAGCCCTTGCATTTTTTTATACTCTGAATTTTGCATGTTTGCCTGACTTAGTATTTCTGAATTGGTTTTTTAAAAGGTATAACGTGTTGATTTTCACTGAAATCATAGTTCGGTCACTACTTTTGTAAATTAACCTGAAACGTAACCCTCACGGTAACTGGGACGATATGCTTGTAAAAGTGTTTGTTCCCTTTTGCTTTTATCCTCAGTGTACCTCCTTAATCCCCTACCAACCCTTATCTTGTATGAGAGTAAGGTGTAACTTTGTGGCTGAAGACTTGAATGAAGATAATTGGACCTTTTATTCTCTAAATAGTGACATATTACCTGCAGCCACAGATTGAATATCAGACCTAAGAATAAAGATCCTTGGTGCTTAATAAAAATAAATAAATAAATAACACAATCTCCCCCCAACCAAATATCCTGATGCCCATGTTATCTTTTCTGATCCATAATCAGTTATAATTTGGGTGGTCTCCAGCTTGATTTGTGCTGAAACTGCCACTCAGGGCAAGGGGAAGAGAGTCACTAGGAAGCTGGAGTGAGACAGGAATTTGTTGCTGTTGTTGTTTATTTGCTTAGTCGTGTCTGACTCTTTGGAACTCCATGGACTGTAGCCCGCCAGGCTCCTCTGTCCATGGAATTTTCCAGGCAAGAATACTGGAGTGGGTTGTCATTTCCTTCTCCAGGGGATCTTCCTGACCCAGGGATCGATCCTGTGTCTCCTGCATTGCAGGCAGATTCTTTACCACTGAGCCACCAGGGAATATTCTCTATCAAACTGAGATAAGGATCAGGAGAACTGTGCCAACTATAGGGATTGGTGCAGAGCAGGAAAGGAGGTTGAGTCCTCGTTTCGGACATCAGTTTTGGCTAGATATGGAAGCAACAGTGGGAGGTCTCCCTCTCCATGACTCTGGAGACCAGGGACATAAGGTCACCTTCAGAGTTGAACTATCAATAGTAAAATTCACAGACAATGGATGTGATTAGTCACCCATGGGAGTAAATCAAGAGACTGAAATGCATGGACCTCATGAAACTCCAATCAAGGGAGGAAATTTGGATGTAATCAGAGGAAGGCAGGTGCAGAATGTGAATGTTATTGCATAGAAAATAATCAATTGAATTGCCCATCACCTGGGGGAAGACTGGGTGAAGGTAGGTGAGGGTGTGGGTAGAATGGGAAGTGGTCAGTGTGGACTACAGGAAATAAAAACCCCAAGGCATCTTAACTTGGTAGTGCACACCCAATCCCTGTGCAGGGGAGAGATTCTGCCTTTTGTGGTTGCTGTGGAACAGAAGTACCTCTTCTCATCTCTCTTCAGTATCCCGTGTGCCCTATGCTCAGCATCTGTGCTCATTCTGATCCTGGGACTAGCTGCCCTGGGCAGTGGACATAAGCTTTCAGTCCCTGGGAAGAAATGTCTCCCACTATAAATTTCTACTTTGGCTATGAGTAACCTCCTGAATTTGAGTGATTCAAGTGACCTTGGATTCTGAAAACTTCTGGAAACCTGATGAGGATAAACACTGGAATTTGGAAAGTGGTCAGCTCCTCAAGGGGATGCTACAGCAAACCCTGGTGGGCAGCTGCAGCCTCCTTCCAGGAATGCATTGACCTCATCTTCAGTCCTTTGCTGCCTTCTTTAGACAGTACCACAGTATCCACTTAGATCAAGGATTCTTAACCCCATCAGAGCCAACGACCTATTTTTAAGTGAATGTTTTGTTAAGTCCTACTTACTATCTGGAAAAGGAATTCACAAATTATAAACCTCCTATACGTGCTTAGTTGCTCAGTAGCGTCTGACTCTGGGACACTTTGAACTGTATGTAGCCTGCCAGGCTCCTCGGTCTATGGGATTTTTCAGCCAAGAATACTGGAGTGGGTTGTTACTTCCTTCTCCGGGGATCTTCCCAACCCAGAGGTTGAATCCATGTCTCCCATGTCTCCTGCACAGCAGGCTGATTCTTTATGCGCTGAGCCATCAGGGAAACCTCCTACACACATCTTTCTAAAAGTCAACATAATGTCCTAATGATGAAGATAAAGAAAAATTATTGGTAGAAGAGGAATAATTTATAACTAACTAATATGTATTGGAGTATATTAATATTTAGGGAAGACTAACTAGGAGGTAGAATGAAGCAGTTGCTTTGAAATCTGAGTGAATGTGACAGAGACAAATGTAATAGAGACACGTTTGCTGACAACTCAGAATAGCGAAGTTGCTGGTAGCCAAATGATTTTCTGAAATTGTGAATACTGTTGGTAAAGTTGTGAACAAACACAGTGCCATCTTCTCTTCCTTTAAAAAGGATTAAGAGGCATTTACAGAAAAATCAGTGTATATTAAAATATACAAAAGTAACTTATGTTTCCAAGTAAAATGGGATTGAATTTCACACCACATAATTACAAACAGATTTTCCCACACAAATATCCAGTGTGACTTCTGAAGTTTGCACAGGACACACGACACTTGGTGCACAAGATCAAATAGCACCTTTGGTTCCACTCATTAAATGCTACTAACCCTCCTAATAACTGTGACAATCAAAAGTGCCCCCTAGAGTTTCCAATACATCTCCTAGAAGCTGGTACCTTTCTTACTGAGATACACTGATTTACGTGAACAGAAAACAATGAAGTGAAGTTGTTAGTCACTCAGTTCTGTCTGACTCTTTGCGACCCCATGGACTGTAACCTGCCAGGCTCCTCTGTCCACAGAATTCTCCAGGGAAGAATATAAGAGTGAGCTGCCATTCCCTTCTCCAGGGGATCTTCCAGACTCAAGGATTGAACCTGGGTCTCCTGCATTTGCAGGCAGATTCTTTACCATGTGAGCTACCAGGGAAGCCCCAACTTAAGTGAACAGGAAACAATATGAGGGCCCAAAAAGGCAAGTGTGCCTGTCCTATGGCACAATCATTCCATGGCCTGACATGGCAGGTAACTTCAGCTGGCAGAAAGAAGGGCAGGATGGATGAAACTGGGGAGAGCATGTAGTGCTAGAGGGAGAAGCAGAAATACATGCAGAACAATAAGTCAGAACTTAGGAGGGGAAACCAGGGTAACAGTTCACCTCTGGGACTTGGGCCAACATACACAGAAGGGTCAACAGAGAAAGAACTGTGGTTCTGGGGCCACATGGGTGCCCAGGTTTGTTGTTGGTGCCAAATATTCCAGATCCGGCTGAAGGGGAAGAATTTATGTCAACAGAGGAGCCCAAAAGTAATGACTTGGTTCCTAGAATGTGGGTCTGGGAATGTGACATTTCCAAACCCATTATGACAGCCTCAGCCAGAAATGACTCAATGTAGGGCATGGGCTTAAGTCTTCTCAAAAGTAGCAGCTGAGGAGAAAGCAAATACAAAAGAGACTAACAGCCGCAGTTTCTCAATGCCACGTGATTGAAGAGGGTATGCTACACAACATTTGATTTTCTTATGTTAGAGTGTTTTTTTTGCCCTTACTTGAACATAAATGAATCAACTCATTCTTCAAACAACAAAAAAAAACATGTTCAAGAGAACAAGATATGAGCATTCACAAACCATTCCTCAAACCACCCCCACACCATGTATGTGCTGCTTTCCTGTGGGTGGACATAAAACAGCTGCTTAGAACTCAGACTTGGAGCCCATTTCCAAAAGTGGGGTCATGAAGGCGTGGCCATAAATTGCAACAATGCTTATACTGAATACCACAATTTACAAGGGTAAGTACATAACTTTGCCTGGAGCCCAGACCAAGGACAACTCTTCAACCACTGCTTTGTGACTCAGAGGCCAAACAACACTCATACAAACCAGATATTCCCTAAAAACCATCTCAACAGGATGATGCCTCATCTCCCG